TCATTGGATATTAGCCCTTTACTGGATGTATGCCTTAGGAGTATTCTCTGCCATTCTATTAACTCTGTTGATTATTTCCTTTGCTATGCAGAAGCTCACCTTCGTCAGCCTGTTAGTGTATATAGACTTTCAATGGATTGGCTAAATCCCACCTGCACTGGGACAGCAATGTCCTTTACTCAGTTGAACAATTCAAATGTTAATCTCATCCAGAAATATCCTCACAGACACACACAGAATGATATTTAATCAAATACCCAGGCACATAGTATGGTCCAGTCAAGTTGACACACAAAGTTAAACATCACCGTTACCAATATAAAAAATATTGGCATTTGCCTCAACGAACAATGAATATTAAAATTTGTCAAGGGCAGCCTGCCAGTCGGATAGTTTATTCACTGGTGTTGGTGAACTCAGGTACCTGCTTCTTCTTCTTCTTTGGTGGGTAAATTGAGAACCTGCATGTCACTTGCGATGAGATCAGGTATAAAACTCTCAGCACAACTGAACTCTGACAATCTACTAGAATGCCAACAATTAAATTCCCTGTGTCCTCTGCAGGTCCAGGAGATGATCAATGAGTGTAATGCTTTAGTCAAAGGACCAGGCTAAAGTATACACAGAATCCATCACAATAATTAATACCTAGGGACATATTATTCAGTAAATATTTAGCATATGTCTGTTCTGCTCCAAACACAATGTCTTGCCCCTAAACATACTGTGAACTAGAATAAAAAAAATAGCTTTGAGGAAGTTGGAGTCTTGCCACAAATTTTCTCTATCAAATAAATTTAATTGAAGTTAAAAATACCATAACTATCACCACCATATTCTAATGAGTTGATAGTTCTGCATTATTTGTTCATTATTTTGACCAATACTATCTTTTCAACGATAGGGTTTAGAATAATCTTTATTCAAATAGTCTCTCCTTTATACTGGGGCAAAGCAATACATCACATGTCTTTTAGCCTTATGAACATGATCCTATACTTCTGTCCACCACTTAAGGGTTACTTAATTTTAACCACCCGGGGACTTTTCTGTCACCAATACATCACCCAAACCCTGGCTTTGGGAGTTGAGTATCCATCATCTCTCCATCTTGTGACTCAAACCTATTTAACGATACATGAGAAAGTTTGGCCCTGTGCTAAATCAACACTTCCTGACAGGGGAATAAATAAAGTCTGGGCTTGGAAAGCTTTGTCAGCTCCTACATGACTTGTATTAGAGCAGGGACTAGGAAGGCCTTGTCAGCAATTTGTCTGACCTAGCCCACTCAGACCCACTCAGATGTGACTGTACTTCCTCAGCTCAGGTACGTGAAGAGAACAATCAGACCAGGTAAGGTTATATTTATGACCAGAAACTAAGTTACCAACTAATGCACAGGACCCAGAAATGGGAGAAATGCCATCCATGGAACAGTGGTGCTAATATGAAATGCAGAGCAGGTGGTGGAAGCCTACAGGTGACCAGGCACTCCACTACGACATTGAAGAGGTGATGCCAAGACTTTTACAGCTGTCAGGACTAAAAATAATCCCCACCTCAGAAGATTTTAGCAGCGCAGAGGTGCTTAAAAATAGCTTCTTCATTTCATAGGAAAAAGTCCAACTAGCATAAACTTCGGTCTAAAGGGATTTTGAAGTTGTATATGCCAGTGATTGAAATGAGAAAAGAATCAACGGTCACTCTGTATACAAACATTAATGGCTAAACTATAGACAGAATGGATTATGTCATGTGTATCTGAAGTTACAAATAAAATTTTGCCCCAGTTGTGGAAGATACGTGCATACACACACACTATGCAATCATATTCATGTGTCAATTCATATATATAATGTAACTTACAGTGACATTCCAGAATGTCAATCACTTAGTAGATTTATAATTTATTTTATTCGGCATGAACAATACTAGTTGGATTTCAATGACTGTGGCATTGTTTTCACAGCAGATGGCATTTTTATCTTATTAAGCACCCTGGTTCACACTGTTATGTTTCTGAACAATGTTTCTGCAGCTAAAAAGCAACAATTATTTCAGATTTTTCGAATATATTTCATAATTTCTCTCCAATTTCTTGATGTTTATGAGGTTTGGCTTTGTGCTACTTTGTTCTGCTTTGTTTTCTGCCTGGCTTACTCAGCCAGCCCCATGAAGACGGCATCTGTGTATTTACTCTAGATTGACATACAGATGAGTAATGACAAAAAGATATGAAAATATTTTAAATATTCAACAAGACATGTTTTCATGGATTAATAAAGACATGGTCTAGAGAATCAACTGTGCACAGATCAATTTGTGTCTCAGATATCTGAAATTATGTCTTTTTTTGGTTGTTGTTGTTAATCAAGCAGGGAATAAGAGAGTATATTCAGAGTCTTTGTTCAATAAAAGAGATCATGACCCAAAACAAACAGACAGTGCCTCATAGTTTCAACAAAGCCGTTTGGCTTTTGAAATGTTAGCATTAAATACATGTATTGCTAATGTCCAGTGATTATCATTTTTTGTTCCTTCCCTGCATATGGACTCACATGTACCTAAGGGTAAAAATACGAGCCTGGATTCTCAAAAGGAGCAGAGGCTCACCTCTATTGTTTCCACCTATGTGACGCACTAACATCTCAGCCAGGGCATGGTTCCCAAGCATGGTTCTCAAATTTCCTCAAATTCTCTATCTTGGAGTCAAGGTTGAGACCAATGAGCCACAGCAATGTTTAGGATATTTTAATGTTCGTGCACATCATCTGGGTATCTTAATAAAATGCAGATTCTGACTTAGCAGGCATTGGTTGAGTCATGAGAATATGTATTTCTACACAGACCTTCAGTGACGCCAAAACTAGTGTTCCATATACTACATGTTGGGTGACTAGGAATCAAGGAAATGGCATCAGTAATTGCACATGCAGCAAATGCAACAGTTTCCCATGACTATAATGCCCAATTTCCTATTTAACAATTTAATACAGAAACTTTGGAAGTTCAAGTTGAAATATGTATATATTTAGTACTTTATTTTTCATGGAAATGATGATTTGCTAAATTGGTCTGAAATTGGTTATGTTTTCTATACATATTTTTCTAGGATACAATTGTAAACAAACATGGTTTCTGAATTATAGTCACATATACTATTTATTTATAAATTTATGAATACAAGGTCCAATATACTAAATAGGCTGTAAGGCAATAAGATAATAAAAATAGATTGGTATACTATAGTAACATCGGAGTCTTTTGGGTCACTTCTTGGGAGTTTACTCCCTGAACAATCATTACATGCAATTGTATTCCATAGAACATCAAGAAAAAGATTATTATCCATCAGGATACTGTCTATTATTTTCTCTTTGCATTTTCTGAAATATACAACTGATATCCATTTCTTGCTAAATCCTTCAACATTTCAACCACTTTATGAATGAAGAAACAGTGGGTCTCACATTATTTAATGCAGAAATTTCCCGTGCACTGATACCTTCAGTTACCGTTTTACAAATACATCACTCAGGTGCTTTAGTTTGATGTTGTGTGAATATCTGTTTGGCATAATACAGGACGTGACAAATATGGTGACTTATTCTCATCTATTTAAAAATATTTTTTTTTGCCCTATGTTATGTTTTGCTAGGAGCAAGGCCAAGGTTCACATTTGTTGCACTTTGGCAAGGGCATTTTGGCAAGTTTTTTTTTTTTTTTTTTAATAGCTTCATTATGACAAGATGTGTTCAGAAAAGTAGTGAAGTTTCATGCTATCTGTGCAGAATTCCTTCTTTGTTAGTGGTGTGCGGAAAGCCATCTGTTCTCTTTAGAGCAGCAGTGATGACTTGTGTGGGACAGTAAGCACTTGTCAGCGCCGGGAAGATGGTCCTCTGCATAAATCATTATCCTGTCTTTATGTCTACCCAGCAGTGAGCCCCTTTTAGGCTGCGTTTCTGGCTGAGGTTGGCAGGCACTGGGGGAAGAGTAGCAGAGTCAAGGAGAGTTGCTTATTAAATTACTCATCTCACTTTTACAGAACAGCTGCTGAACCAAACTGGCTAAAATATCTTAGCAGTTCTCCACAGCATATGCTTGAATACAGATGCTCACTTTAAGCTATTCACAGAGCTGAGGCTGTGGAGGTTGATAAATGTTCAGCTTTTAGATACAAAGCAGAGGTTAAATGGATATGTCAAGACGTTTAGCTAGCCCTGGTACTTTTAGCGCAGAATAAATGGCAAGCTTCCCACTAGTCTACCTTCTAACCCTAGCATGCAAAAAAAACTATAATAATAATAATGAAAACACCAATCTATTGTTTTTTATTTCAAAGTATTAAGGGGTAAAAATATTTTGTTACAAAGATACATTTTATATTGCTTAAGGTGAGGCTTTTAGTATGCACATCACCTGGATGGTGTGCATTACACTGAACAGGTAAAGTTTTATCCCTCCCCTCTTCACTTTTCTTGATTTCCAGTGACCTTTAATAATTCATTGGCCCCATTTCATTTGATTAGCTTTTAAATAAGAAGGCCCTTTTAAATACTATTCAAATCAAGATAAATCATAGAATGATATGTTTATTCATGAAATAAGATGTGAAGGTACATAAATCTCTGTAATTTCTTCTGGATCTTATCTTATTGGAGAAGACAGTTTGCTCAAAAAAAAACTAGTAAAGGCTAATGCATTAAATTAATAATTTTCACAAGCATGAGTTTAAGATATGACAGTTTTCTTTTGAGGACTTAAAATCAGAACACTAGCAAATTCTCATGGGTCATTGAATATCCATCACATTACAGCAAATTTTACTCATAATCAAACCTGATGATGCTTGTACAAATGACCTAGGAATGAAAGGTTTTATAACTCATGAAAAATAGCTAATCAATACAATGATTCTTATTTGAGGAGCAGAGCTTATTACTTTTTATTTTCTGGTCAATTCATAAGTTCATTCCTGATTTTATTCTCTCTCTTTTTTAAAAAATATGGAATGTTTCATGAATTTGCATGTCATCCTTGCACAGGGGCCCTGGTAATCTCTATATCATTCCAATTTTAGTACATGTGCTGCCAAAGTGAGCACCTGATTTTATTCTTGATTTCAGACAAAATGAAGGGTACAGAAAACATGGTATTCTTTGTGAACGCTCTTCTTACATAAAGTACTGGCTCAGTTAAAATCATTATAATTTTTAGAAAACTAGAAAACACTGAAAATTATGCTGACCTACACTGCTTGGGTTTGAATTCTTTTTCCAGGTAGATATTTATTAAATGCCCTTGATGGAAGTTCTTTAGTTTTAATACTTATGTATGCAAAGCATTCAGAATTACAGCAATTCCCTAGGCAAATATAAGCCAAGCAATATTTAATATATTCTTTGATTAGCTAGACACTTAATCACTCTTATCCATATATTCAGTACCATATTTACTGCACAATCCATAATATCATCACTAATTTAAATGAAATTCTATATCTGATTTCTGTTACATATTCGGATTCAATTCACTCTCCTTTTTTTTGTATGAAAAGAAAGAAGAATAAAGTAAAGCTCAAGGAAAGTTAAAAGCAATCAAAGACTGCATTATTCTTCAAAGGAATTCTTAAGCCATCCTTTGAAATATAGTGAGAAATCCTTTTGTGAAGAGTGGGTTTATGATATGTGCAGGTTACTGAATATGTGAGAATGTGACCTAATATTAGCAAGAAAGATCAACTTCGAAAATTACAGTGACAATGGTTCATTCTTCTGTTAAAATATTAAAAACAGGATCACTTTCAAGAAATTGAAAAATGAACTAAATTGTTGCAGAGAGATATAAGGCCTTGTAGAAATATTTTTAATTGATCTGTGTAACTTGGAAAACAGGAGGTGTCCAGATGACTCCTTCACTTCAAACACTCTTTTGGGAGAAGACCAGATATTAAAATGAGGAAAGCATTTTTGAATTTGAAAATGTCTACGAATAAAAAAATTATCTATTCTAATTCATACATGTGCTCCCAAATGTTGCATAGAAATACTCTCAATGATTAAGTGATGGAGTTGTATATCCCCTGCTTCTCCTGTTCTTTCCTAAACCAGAGAATTGTCCTCATTGGCTATTGGCAGGGTTTGGTTAGTCTGTTTGCTGAATCACTTTTTCTTCTCATTCTTCCCTCAATTTATAAGGGCTCACCACAATTTATCTTCCAATGACTAAAATTTTGTGTTTTAAGTTATACTCACCTATTATTTTACAACATTTTAAAAAAGCATAGAAATATCAAAATATTTTTTCATACATTCCACAATTTATTTTTCCTTTCATAATTAAAATTGTAAACCTATGACCTATATCTACTATCTCTGTTTCCGTGATAATTATTAGATGATTGCAAAAATGACTTTTCTGAAATTTACTATGCAATGTTCGTATGTAGTTTAAGGTATCAATTTTCTATTGTTGGAGAGCTTTTTCTTTTCCACTTTTTTTTTAATCTTTGCATTTTTCAAATACCAGGATTATGCATGACCATCTGAGCTTCTAAATCTTTGTCTTCCTCTGAAACTATTACCAATAGAATTTATTTAGTTTATTCCTTTATCACTTCATGGAATCTGTCATTGCCAAGATTGTCAGTTTAATTTAGAGAAATTAAATGTCAGTTCTTTGTTGTTTTTGTTTTTGAGACAGAGTCTCACTTTGTCACTCCCCGTAGAGTGCTGTGGTGTAATATCTCATAGCAACTTCAATCTCTTGGGCTCAAGTGATTCTCTTTCCTCAGACTCCCAAGCACCAGTGCCCTGCCATTTTTATAGATGCTGTCTTGCTCTAACTCAGGCTAGTCTCAAACCTGTGAGCTCAGGTAAACTGCCCATCTCAGCCTCCCAAAGTGCTGGGATTATAGGCATGAGCCACTGAGCCTGGCTTAAAAGTCATTTCTTGACATGCTACCTTAACTTTAATTTGCCTCCTGGATTCTCCCTGCTCTTTCACTTTCTATGGGAATACTAGTAGTTAATATTTGATCTTGGTATGCATACTTCATTTAAGCAAGTGTAGAGGCAATGACTTCCTTTCAGTTCAAGCCTTAGGTTTGCTCCCTATTTTAAAATAAAGGAAACACTGTGCTTCCCTTCGTAATAAGACATTGCCTCAAAGTTCTGTCATCCTGGAACTTGGCACCACTTCATATTTTCTTGATTCCAGTATCACTAGTCTCTAGTATTTCTTGTTTAGTCCTAGGAATATAAACTAACAGTTAACCTGTAATACCGGCTTTAGTTTTTATCTTCTTTGTTTTAATTGACTAGTTTATTTCCTTTATTTCTTCCTACTTATTTTTAGGTTAACCTTATGTACAGAAATGTGCATCAATCATAAACATCCAGCTTGAATATCCAAAAATGAACACACATGTGGCAGGCAGAATAATAGGCAGCCCCCCAGGATCCTCCCTCCACTTGCTTTCCCTTGAATGTGAACAAGACTTGTCTACGTGAATGTGATTCATTCCTGTGATTAGATTATTTTAAGTAGCAAAGCTATTATTATTAAAGCCCAAGATCAGTGACTTTGAGAGGATTGTCCCAGGTGTGATAATCTAGTCGAGTGACCCTCTACGGAGACTCCAGATCTTCTTGGAATTGAGTGATCTGAAGGCAAGCAGAGTTTTCTAATGCTTTACAGAATCAAATAGACATTCTTCAAAGGGCCTGTGAGAATTGTGAGCAGTCTCCATTTGCTAAGTCTAACTGATCCTCAGAAAGAAAGAGAGACCTGAGTGTTACACCTACAAGGAAATGAATGCTGCCAATGTCTACGTGACCCGAGACCAGGCTCCTGGCTACACAGAGAAACGCAACACAGACACTGCATTGCTTGCAGCAAGACCTGAAAAAAAAAAAACTTTACCAGTAACCTAGCTAAGCCATGCCTGGTCTCCTGATTCATGGAAACTATTTGATAAGAGATGTATGTGGTTTCAAGGCACTTAGTTTGTGGGATATTGTTACACAGAAATAGAAAACTAATATAACACCCCAGCAACAGACATTCAGATCAAACATCATAGTATTGTTATTACGGGAGCCTGTGTCATGTACCTTCTCACGTACCACACCCTTAGATATATTAGTGATGACTCTGATTAATACAGCAGAGGCATTTTGCCAGTTTTTAAGTGTATATGACTGCAGTCACATACTATGTCCTTTTTGTATTAAGCTTTTCACTCAATATTATATTTGTGAAATTCATTCATTTTCCATGGAGCAATAGGACATTCATTCCTACTGCTATGCCATATTTCATTTTATAAATATAACATAATTTATTTGTTTGATAATTAAGGGGAATTCTGGGTATTTCTAGTTTGGAATTCCTAATTTGGGGTTGTTGGACATATGATCTTCTTAGATGTTTTGTTTGGGAGCGTAGCTTGGTGTAATTTATGGTACATTAGTAGTGAAATATCTGGATCACAGAGTTTGAATATTTTTAGCTTTAGTAGAAAATGTCCAATAATTTTCCAAAAGGTAAAACCATTTTTGTTTCATTTTTAATTATTATGGGTACATAATATTTGTACATATTTATTGAGTACACAAGGTGTTTTGGTATAAGCTTAAAATAGGTAATAGTCAAGTCAGGGTAATTGGGATATCCATCGTCACAAGAATTTATTATTTATTTGTGTTAGGAATATAATTTTTATTTTAAAATAAATGATAATTTATTGTTGACTATAGTCATCCTGTTGTGCTATCAAGTACTAGATCTGTTCATTTTATTTAACTCTATTTTAGCTCTCATGGAATATCTCGACTTCATCACCCCTTCCCTGCTACCCTTACTGGCCTCTGGTAGGTATCATTCCACTCTTGATGTCTAGATACCTACCTATCTATCTATCTTCTTTCTATCTATCTATCTATTTTTTAGCTCCCACATATGAGTGAGAGCATCCATAATTTGTCTTTATGTGCTTGGTTTATTTTGCTTGACATTGTGGCCTTTGGTTATATCCATGATATTGCAAATGATAGGATTTCTTTCTTTCTTTCTTTCTTTCTTTCTTTCTGTCTGTCTGTCTGTCTTTCTTTTGCTAAATAATGTTGTGTATATACCACATTTTTGTTATCCATTCTGTCACAACCTCTGGGGCCCCTGGGGCTTCTGAGGTCCTGGTCTCAATCACCACAAGAAGGAACCAGGCGTGACACAGATTAGAAGTACAAGCTTGAGGGAGGCGGACTAAACCTTCTTTGCAGGGCAGCCCCAGCAACCTCCACACTTGCCTTTTATGAGACCAGCACAACACAGGTGAGGGGAGTATTCAACAATGACTATGTGCATAAAAATTGCCATGGGCTAGGGCTTTCTCCACAAGGAGCACCGGCAGACAAATTATACAAGGGTCCACCCCTCAGCTGTAGATCATCTTGCTCAGAGGTCGTCTGACTCTTGGCATCACCAACATTTCCCCCCTCTAGTGTATTAAAGATATTTCTGGATAGACAAGGGAGAAAATCTGTTGCTGGTTATTTAGCTGTTCTCCTCACCAAGGAGCTTTCTTTTCTGCTAAGTAAAAGAAACAAAGGGCATATAAGTATAACAGAAATACACCAACAGAACTAATCCAGGTATAAGGGAAACTATTTTCTTTCTTTCTTTTTTTTTTTTTTTTTTTTTTTTTTTTTTGAGACAGAGCCTCAAGCTGTCCCCCTGGGTAGAGTGCCATGGCTTCACTGCTCACAGCAACCTCCAACTCCTGGGCTCAAGCGAGTCTCCTGCCTCAGCCTCCCAAGTAGCTGGGACCACAGGCACCCGCCACAACACCTGGCTATTTTTTGGTTGCAGCCATTATTGTTGTTTGGCAGGTCCCAGCTGGATTCGAACCTGCCACCTTAGGTGTATGTGGCTGGCGCCTTAGCTGCTTGAGCCACAGGCTCTGAGCCAGGGAAACTATTTTCTAACTGCCACCAAACTATGTGCTACAGGCTGACCCATAGGGCCCATGATGCTTTTATGGATGTATTAACCACTACCCTAAGTTATGGTAGGTGGGGAAAGGGCTATACCAAACTCAGACCA